CTCTTATGCAATTCATTGTGTTAATAATGCCTTTGATACTGCTGCTTTAGAACCGGTGTCCATACTTTCTTCTGATGGAGCTGCTGCACATTTTAAGGTATTAGCAAGTGAGTTATGCTCTAGATATGCCCATTGCAGGATGAAGAAGATCTTAGTATTTGGCTCTAAATGTAAGATCAATTTTTAGGGAGAGGGAGAAATTGATGAGTGATAACATTTCTAGATTATCTAGGATTGGAAAGATAAGATACGAACTATTTAAAAGCCCAACTTTTGAATTTGCATCTACAGCTCAATTTATGGTAACTATTATTAATTAATGAATACATGTTACTTCTCATGTGAGTAAAGGTTACAGAATCAGGAGGGGTGTGTAAAGATTACAGAATCAAGTACATTAATTTGTGGAAAGGCAGTTTTACTTTTTCTTGAGCATTGGAGGAAAAAATATTTCATGGTTGCAAACTGATACAGCTAACTCACTTGGGCAAGCTCCTCTTCTGATTCATTCTCTGCCTAGTTCTGGCCCCCTGCACTTGCTTGGAGTCTCTAAACAGGAAGCTAATAATCTCTTTTGCATAAATTGGAAAGACAGCTTGCATTCCAGTGCTTTATCTAAATATTCTTATAATCCAACTTTGTGTGGAGTCAAGTCTAAATAAAACCTTAAGTCTTTTTCTAATTCTTCCATAATTGTTTACAATGGAATTGTATAGTGTACTATGGAATAGATTTGATTCAGAATGGTGCTGAGCTTTCAAAGAAAACTGATAAGATGAGGTTTTGTACTTTGCAGTTTAGGAATTTCATTATGAAAAAATCCTAACAATGTAGCAGACAATCTTCAAATAAAGGTGTAGAAGTTTTTTATTTATTAATGGAAATTATGGTTTAGCATTCAAGTTGCTTTTTAGAATTAAAATTAAGCATATACAAAAATGAAAAAAAATCAAGATTAAAAAATACATGCATATGAATAGAAAGGAGCAAACGATAAGAAAGCTAAGAAAAAAGAGTGATATAGAATAAATTGTGAAAAATTGCTATGTACTTTCAGATATTATGAAAAAGAACCGAGGCTCACGCCAGGGAGGTTATTATACTCACTGCTGCAGTGTAAGAGTTGATGACTTATTTAGCATAATCTTGATGCACATCTTTTTGGCAGCCACTTTCTCCTGTTTATAATTGTAAATGATATTTTAAAATGTTGATTACAAAAAGATTTTATTGCAAGTTACATCAAACAGTCTTTTAATGAGTCCTTCTGAAAACCCATTATGAATATGATAATAAGATCAATAATAAGAAGTCTATTCTTATCCCTAAATTATCATCACAACCACTAGGAAGCATCAGTAACTATTGCAAGAGGTAGGGGTTTTGGTGGGCGATGTATTTTATTGGCCTAGCTGTATGACTGGGATAGATTTAGGAAAGCTTCTGAGCACAATGGCCAGAGCTGTTCTCAGGCTGTCTGTCTTCATTGTGGCTACTGGTACATATTCTTGGCCTCTCTAAAGTACCACCATCACCTGAATTCTGCATATGAGTCTGACAAACTTTGGAATGCAAAGCATTCTTCTTCAGGTCTGAGGAAAAGCCAGGCACAGCAAGAATGACCTGAAAAAAGCTTGTTGGGGTGGACTTAGACAAGCTTTGAATCTGCTCAGATCTTTATCTGAAGTCTGTCCTAGCTGTGCATTTGGTCCAATAAAAGATATCGCCCACAAAAATCCTTCCCTCGTGCATATTTCCTGGACCATCATGGCTACAACACCACTCCAACACATTAGCAACTACTGTATTTCAGCAAGGTTTAGAGTGGTTTAAGAAGGGAAAGATTGGCTTAGTTTCAGTTAATCATTGAGAGGGAGAGCCATAAAACTGCTATAAATTTTAAAACTGTTATTGTTTAGTTGTCAAAGCTGATTAAAGTTTATAACTATTTTGATCCAAGTTGTACCCTTGTTCCTCTCTGGAGAACTGGTTGGGGTGGGAATCTAGAGCTGCAGAAACCAAAGGGCACTGCTGGTGCAGAGGACACCTTTGCAGATTATCTCGGAGAGCTGAGAGGTAACTAGCAGATTTTATAGTTCTCTGTATATTGCACTGTAAATTATGTTCCAGTTCTTGCTCTCAAATATGTGGGATGCTGGAAAGAAAAGAAAGAAGGGTCTTGGCAACTTCATAGCAGTTGGCCACAGCTATTTGTGGTCATGGTTTGTCAGCCCCAAATCAAGAAAGCAAGCTAGGTCTGCAGTGTTGACTAGGTGGAAGTTGCAGTTGGCCTTTCTGTTGCCTCCAAGTGTTATCTATATAGCAATACCCAGTATTTGGGGGTTTTTTATTTTGCAAGACAAACAAGATGCTTTTAAAAGAACTGAATGAAGTTTCTACAATTACAGCTGTCTGTCTCAAAGAGGCATTATCTGTTTGGTGTCATTGCACTATAAAAGGCAGTGACAATGCCTCCTGTGTACCCACACAGCCCTGCTGACATACCAGTGCCAAAAAAGCGCTTGTGTTTTCTTCCTTCCAGCAACTTTTAGAACTGAGGTGGTTTGTCTGTTGCTGTTCAAAAACAAATAGAACTTGATTATACTGCCTCTGTGCTGGGCACTACCGAGAAGCACTCCCTGCCTGCTCCCTCCTATGCAAAATTCAGGCAGTGTCACTACTTCAGAGCAGCAGCGGTGGGAGAAAATATTATTTGGCGGGGGCGGGGGGGCAGGTGCAGAGCCGTCCCTCCCTCCCACCGGGCCATTGCGGGGCCAGTGCATGACAGGTGCACTGGGCATGGTGCTGCAGCAGCAGGGCATGGTGGTGGCACTGGAACAGTGGATCAGTGTTTGGGAGGGCTAAGCCCCATTAACCCCGGTCTTCCACTGCCTGCACTTCAGAGACACCTGGAATACGTGCTGGTAACCACACTGAAGACAAAGGCCCTGAAAATAACTGTGTTCAGAAACTCTTTAAGGCAGCTCTGTCGTCTGAGTCTTGGACCTGGAGCAAGCGGGGCGAAGCATGTCCCACCAGACTACCCCAGGCTCAGCACAGAAGTAGGGTAGAAATGCCCTATATCATTTGTGGCTGTTGTCTTGGTGTTAGAAGCTGCTAGTTTTGGAAGAGCCATGTTTTATAAGCATATATGTGATCTGAATTGAAAACATAATGTTTATGCTGAGTAAATCTGGTCAATGTTGTAATAATTAAATGCTTCTTTTATTGATTTCTGAATGGTACTGAAGTTATCCTCAGCTTCCCAGTCGCATGTAATTGTGAGGGAAGAAAAAGCTACTGAAAAGCAGCAGAGCAAGTCATTCCATGAATAAAATGATCAATGTACCAGGACAAATGTAATTAGTTTTCAAACCACCCCTGGTTGAGGTTAATACTATTGTATTTTGCAGTAAAACCCACTTTTGCATATTATTGTTGTCACTAGCAATAGTTTTGCTTAGATTGATGCATGCATGTATGTATGTATGGGTATTTTTCTCTTAATCATTTCCATCTTTTTTTACCTAATATGTTATGTTCCACTAATAATTTTGCTGTTTTCATGTTTTTCAAATAGTATCTTTGAACTAGTTCAATTTAATGGAAAGATGCTGGCAACTGTTGGAATGAATGGTAAACATTTAACTGGGGAATCATCCTTTTGTTTTAAGTTTCTCCTTATGTTTTAAATGGAGGACTTTATATTATCAAGGGAAGAGTGTTCCATTGGTTCTAGTAATAGAAAGAGACATTTGAGTTCAACAACAGAAATAGTTATTAAGCCTCAGAGACAGGAATGAATTAGCAGTCTCAAGTTGCTAATTGTGTGGTCTGGAAGATTTCGTGCTACATTACTGTTCATCCATTTTTATTTCATGGTTTAGTAACTGATACCACACCTAGAGAGATAGAAATGAACTGTTGAGAAATGAGGTAAGCAAACTCTGTATAGATCACATCCTATCCTCCTTTTGTTGAAAAATATAGGAGCATAAAATATGTGCCTTCAACTTCTTGCAGTTAGACTTGTGGAGTCAGCCCTTCCCAGCCAGAGTGGGGAGAGCTGATTTCTGTTGCCTCTGTCCCCCATGTATGCACATTATAAAATGTTAACCTCTCTCAGAGGTTGCGTTAGCAATTACCTGGCACAAATTTCCACTGGGAAATCCATGCTCCATAGAACATCTCATATTCAGCTGCTTTTTCAAGGCACTGCCTAGTTCCCCTGAAGCTCTGGTCCTGTTTCTCTTGTGGAGAAACTTCTGTATTGCAGAAGGGAGCAAAAAAACTCTGAGGAGGTGGCTTCTCCCCTTTTGTAGAGATGGAATATGTTCTGGACCATTTTGCCCACCTCTGAATCACATACCTTAGAACAGCATATGGGACTATGCTCTCAACTGCAATTGGTTTAAACTGATTAGTACCAAGAAAAGCAATGACTGGTTTTATAGTCATATTAAACCCTGAACAAGTGACTGAGAGCTTTAGTTGGCATGCACATTTAGTGCAGTGAAATTATTGCCAATGGTTGCTACCATGGAGGAGCAAGAACATAACCCATCTGAACTCGCACTGTTCCTGTGGCAGGTCTTAAGGAAGCTTTAAAATGCTTGAATTTGCCCGCGGACTGAAATATTTCTAGAGTTACTAATATATTTTGTAATAATCATTTAAGAAAACAAAAGGAAAATTGGATGGGGGGAGGGACAAAGAAAAGATAAATTGATGCTAAGAGCAAATAATTAAAGAAGTATTCATTTATATAAAGAAGGGCTACTTCTCTAAAGAATGCTTTTTAATACACTGTATTTACCCAAATCCAAGATGTCTTTGAATTTAAGGCAGTTCCCCTAATAATTAGATCTCCTTGTTCCCTGTGCCTGTCCCGTGCCCCTGTCCCTCTGATGGCTGGCCCCCACATCCTGCCACCCGTCCCCCTGCCTGCCTGCCTTCTCCCTGCCCCTGCATCCTCTAAACCACCCCTCCCTGCTGCTTATCTTCTGTTGCTGCTCCACTCTGATCTGGTTCAGGGGCAGTCAGCAGTGGTGGCCACCCCAGCCCGACCCTGACCTGCCTGACTAGGCAGAAGCAGTACTGGCAGCTATGGACGTGGCTGGGTCTGAGTTGGAGGAACTGGAGTAGCCAGAGGAGAAGGTAAGCAGTGGGAGAGGGAGGAGAATACTGGGGAGAGGACACTCTGCACAGTCTTCCCGGCATTCCTCCTGAACTGCTCACATCCAAGTCTACTGAGCACCTCCACTACCACATGGCTTCCTGTCCCCACCCCCCCATCCCCAACTGTGAGCCCCCTTTCCCTGCAGCATGAGCCACTCTAGGCTAGTACCTGAATCCAAGATGACTCCCCTTGTTGTTTGTGGGAAAAAATCATCTTGGATTCAAATAAATATGGTAACGGTGTGCCTTTTTTTTCTCACTGTTTGCTGCAAATCTTGGGAAACTGTTTTGTGAGAGCAAGGAGAAGGTGGCAGCTTAGATATGGTTAAACCACAAAAATGTTAGATGTATTACAGATTTATTCAGAAGTTTGGCTATAGAAGAATGAAAGTTAAAAGCTGCAGAATATATTTCAATGCCATGTTTCTTTGCCTTTTAGAGAGATGTGAAATATACTGTAACAGAAGGAAAGATTTGATTGGTATGACTTTTCTTCTTTAATCAGCAGTGTCTAAACAAGGAAATGCCAAAAAGGTTTCTGTTCAGATTTGATCAGTTACACACTTTGAACCTTTCCTCATTCAAACTCATATAAGTGGTCCTTGAGAGAGGGGAATTAATAATTTGCAACAAAAAATTATGCAACAAACAGCTTCATTTTGTGCTGTCAGGTTACCTGCTGGAACATCGCTATTTGCTCAAATGTATTTGTATTCAAAAGTATTCAAAGATTGTTTTCCCACAACAGTTCACTATGTCTAGTGTATTTACAATAAAAGCTGCTTAAGATTCTGTGTAGGCTCATAAAATTTATCATGCTAATATATGTCATATGCTATCACATATTAAAGAGGGTATTATCTATTATAACTTTATCATTAGTGTATACAAGGGCATTCATGCTTAAAAATATAGCTGGTCCTAATGCTTAATGGGTTCCTTGGGTTAATGCTGGCTATTTTTTTAAAATATTGTGTTTGTTGCTATTTTCACTGACTGCTAAGTTGCATTTAATATCATATTTTCCTAGTGTAGACATGGCTTTTCCTAGTTGCGATTGGTCAGATATGGTCTGTTTCTATGAACTGGCATGTGTGGTACATTTACATTTTTTGTTCTGTCAGAATTCACGTCAGTACACTTGACCAAGCATGTGTTTGCAAAAAGTGAACCAAATGTATCATGAACAGGGTCAAAGCAAATTATTTAGATATCCAAGTCTTTATTTGCAGACTTTTTTTGTATTCTGCTCTGATCCTTGAAGCAGCAACTAGTAAGCATCCTGTTAATGCCCAGTTTCTTGGATAACAATCATAAAATAATTCTCATTAAATAAAAACACCCCAACCTCAGAAAAGGTCACAAAGAAATAAGTAATAAAAATTAATTCCCTTTTTACTCCCAAGGATGAGGACTATTAGCATAAGTATGTGTCATCTTAGGCCTAGGCCTAGGTATTGGACTATGTGTTAGATGTCCAAAGGTTACAGTAATTTAACTTTGTTTTCCACTAAAGTCACTTGTTGCATCTACACGTGCAAATAATCTGGGAGCAGCTTACACTTGAGTAAACTACTTGAGAGTAAACTCTCCTGGGCATATGTCTTCGTGTGCAGGAATTGAGGAGCAGATTTGCTACTCCTAGCAGCAAGACTGCTCCTGTTCCTGCTCCTTGTATCCAGCCCCTGGAGCAGCCATGCTTTCCAGGGTGCTAGTTGTCTCCTGGTGAGGGCTCAGATATTTCTCCCTGCTCCCAGGAGATGCCAGGGTGGGCTCTGCCAGAGGAGCCCAAGTGGGGACAGTGTCCCCCTGCCGTTGGGAGATCCTTCTAAGGATTCTTTCTAAGGATCTCCCAGCCTGGCCCTGTGGCCCGGGCAGGGGGGACATTGACCCTGTTT